GTGGGGTCCGGTCAGCCCACCCAATCAGGGCTGATCAGGCCAGCTGGCCAGGGGGAGGGGATGCAGGAGGTTGGCTGGCCAGCCCCGCCCCCAATAGGCCCCCTCACCCTAACCACCTGCAGCCCCTCCCCCTGGTCAGCCCCACCCCCTGGTTGAACTCCTGGTCTAGGGAACAATTTGCATATTAGCCTTTTATTATATAGGATAAAGCAGGGAGTGATGACAGAAATCTACATAATGAGCCGTTAGCCATCCAACTATCTAGAAGAGCATTCCAAGCAGAAAGAATAAGTGCAAAGGCTCTGAGGCAGATATGAGCTGGGAGACAGTGTGGCCAGAAGGCAGTGGGTGAGTAGGAGAGTGAAGCGGTAAGGTTAGGGCAGATGGGACCACATGTTTTAAAATTTGTGCAAACCGAGAACAGAAAGGATTGTAGGGGGATAAGAGAGGAATCAGAGAGAGCAATTAGGGGGCTGTTGCCATGAGCCAGACAAGACTGAGGATGGCTTGGAGCAGGGTGGTAGTAGTCGATAAGTAGAATAGATGTATTGGATTGGAGGATGCTCTGGAGGTCAAGGGAGCAGGATGAGAGGCAGTGGGAGGCTGAGAGAAGAGTCAAGGAGACTCCCGGGTTAAACCAACTCTGTTGGCTGCTTCCTCTTGGCCCTGGGTTAGTGGAGGTGGGAGGAAGGGAAACAGTTGTTGACAGTAATGCTCTCCCCTAATCCCACTTAAAAGCTTCATGCTCAGAAATTGTTCTTTTGTCTTTATCGCCAGGACACCACCAAGTCTACTCACGTTTTATTGGTTGGTTTTCCTCCCATCTATTTCATGGGCCACACTTCCTCAGCCTTCTTTGCTGGTTTCCCCCTTCACCTTGACCTCTAAACGTTTAGAGTATACCAAGGCTCAGGCTTGGAGCTCTTCTCTTCTCTATTTATGCTCACTCCCTAGGTAATCCATTCCATCTCTTGGTTTTTAAAAATCACCTGTGTGCTGAACACTCCCAAATTTATATCTTCATACTAGACCTCTCTCCCCTGAATTCCAGACTCATACACAATTGCCTACTCAACATCTCCACTTGAAAATTTAGTCATCTCAGACTTACCATTCTCTGCACCTCCATCCACTCCTTCCAGTACACACACCACACACACACACACACACACACACACACTCATAACCTCCCTCACTTGGCTCCAGCCACACTGGTCTCCTTCCTCTTCCCCTAATGCAATAAGCCTTTGCACTTGCTGTTCCCTCTACGTTAATGGCTTCTTCCCCAGATATCTTTTATTATTATTATTATTATTATTGATTTCAGAGAGGAAGGGAGAGGGAGAGATAGAAACATCATTGATGAGAGAGAATCATTGATCGGCTGCCTCCTGCATGCCCCCCACTGGGGATCAATCCTGCAACCCAGGCATGCACCCCCAACTGGAATTGAACTCGGGACCCTTCAGTCCGCAGGCTGACGCTCTATCCACTGAGCCAAACCAGCTAGGGCCCCCAGATATCTTAATGCCTTACCTCCGTCAGCTGTCTGCTCCAACATTAAGTTTTCAGTGAGGCCTTCTTTGACCAGCCTATTTACAATTGCTACTACCCTACTCCACCTTTCAGCCTCATTTTTCTCTGTAGTGGTTGTCAGTATCTGCTATTCTACACATTGTTTGCTTGGCATCCCCTCACCCCCACCACTAGAATATGAACTTCATAATGACAGGGTTTTGTCTCTTATTCCCTGCTTCTCCCTTAATCAGATCAGAGCCTGGCACATACTTGGCACTCAATAAATAGTGAATGAATGAATTGAGTTAGGGAAAGACCTGTAGTCCTCAAGAAGCAGCCTGGGTCTGAGAATTAAGACCTCATTTCTAGTACTCGCTTTGGCACTAGCTATGTGGCTTCTGGGCCTCACCTTGTCTATCTGTAAACAGTGGAGAACTTCTGGTCCTTTGCTGGTGCCGCATTCTAGAATGAGGCTTAGCAGTAGCCCACCTTCAGCCATTTGAGTGAGGGTAGGAGGCAGGGATAGACAGGACCTGGTGGAGTAAGAGGAGAGAACTCTTGCTCCTTCTTTCTAGTCAAGGTTTGGGTGGAGTCTTCACTGGCTTTGAAATGAGAGGCAAGGTTTTGGCTTGGACTTGGAGCCTTGGTGAGGAAGAAGGAATGAGGGGTCCAGCTCCACGTAGAGGCCTGGTCCCTAAGCCTGGGCTCCTCCTCATGGGGAATCTGTGCCTGTGAGGGCCTCATGGGAAGTGCTGCTATAGGAAAACGAGGAGAAGGGAAGGTGGGAAATCAGGATGGGTAAGAACCAGGGAGGGCGGACTGAGAGGGCCGCCTGCTGTGGGATCACCTGGGCCCGCACATTGGTCTTCAGTGGATTCTGGGAGATGAAGCCTCCATGCAGACCTCAGCCAGCGCCCACTCCAAGACAGACTGGCAGGCCTTTTGGCTGAGGAGAGCCCAGCCCTCCTCCTTTTTCTGGGCCTTGCAACAGCTCCCTGCTTGTTTTCCCCGAAATAAATGGGCTGAGCATATTGGGCCGGCAATAACCCCTTGAAATCAGTTGTTATCACAGTTAACAACCAGTTTGGCTTCAGTTCAGGCTGTTAACTATCAAACCACTAAGTGCCGGTAATGATTGATTCTTGGCCAGTTGCAGCTTGAGTGGGCTGTAAAACCCCATTAGCGAGGGTTCTGTGGAGGCAGCAACGCAAAGATAAACAAGGTGGTGGGTGCCCTAGCCCAGCCTAGCCCACTGCTTTGGGCTCTGCCCCATGGCACCTTGGCCTGGGGTCCTGCTGGGATTCAGCCCCTTCCCAAAGCCTCAGGCAGTCTCATGGACCACATACCCACCGTCCTGTCCACTTCTAGTCTCCCCCAACCCCGCTTAGTCATCTCCCTCCTCCCTACAGGCAGGTCCAGCTCTGTGGACAGCCCACCTCTTCTCCCTTATCACAGCCATAGCACAGTTCCATCCCACACTCTGGGCACGCAGGCATCATCAGCCTGGAGGCTTCCCGGGTAGCTTTGGCCTAGCCAGTGACCAGCCTTGGCCCAGCCTGGCCCCACTTTGTGGCCAGGATCACAGGCAGGGAGAGTCTGACATTCCACCCCACCCCAGACTCCCTCCTGTCCTTTGGCTTCCCCCAGGAATTGCTCTCAAACAAATGAAATGTGGGTAATTACTGGGCTAGGGGCTGGACAGGCGGCCCTGCAGATGAAAGCATTTCCTGGACGGTCTCTTCATTTGCATGGCATCAGAAGCTGCTCAGAAGGTGTGACTTTTCCCACAGTGAGACCCCAGCTCCTTGCACAATAAAGCCAGGCTGCTCACCCAGAATTAATTAAAGGGGGAGGGGAGGAGATGGAGCAGAGTTGGAGGCACTAAGAGCTGGGGAGCTGGAGGAGAGATGTCTATAGCCCCCCTCCCCAAGTCCCAGTGTCTATAAACCAAACCTACTGTATCCAGAACCCCTCACCCTCATAGCAGGCTAAAAGAAGTGATGTGGACAAACCCCAGGGTATCCCCAATCTCACTACTCCAAGGCTTTCCACTGAACCCTGGAATTCCTGATCCACCTGGAGGGCCTGAGCCTGGGACTTGCGGCTGCAACTCTGGGAGACCTATGTGTTTAGAAAACCTTGGGGTGCTCCCCTTCCAAAGGAGGTGCCGAAGAACAGAAGCACAGAGGGAAGACGTTTCTGGATTGTCCTAGGAACTGGGCACCCTCAAAAGAGGTAGCAGAAGCAGCTAGCATGGGAGGCCTCAGTTATAAAGACTGAGCCAGCTCTGCCCTCGGGAGACCTGTTACTTCTGGGTTTGGGCTCTTCATCATACCATACCATGGTGTGGTATGAGACCAGTGTCACCAGTCCGCATCCACACACACACCCCTCCACCACCATGGACCGTCCCCTTGCCCACACCATGACCTGCTCTACTAACCCGACCTCTGCTTCCCTTCCCATCCCATGCCCAGTTCCCTTCCCTCCAAGCCCCATCTCTCCAAGGGTGGCAGCCTCTCCCTAAACCATCGTCCCTGGACTCTTTTGCAGCACCTGAGCTCAGCACCTTCTGCTCACAGCTCTCTGACCGGATCTCCGAAAGCTAACACTTGTTCTGTGTCACAATTGTCAGCACCAGCCTTGGCGGTCCCCCCTCGGACAGACCCCCACCTTGGACCCTGGCAGCTGCTCTTTTCTTTCATTTTCTGGAGTCTGATACTCAGAAAGAATGAGCTTCGGCACCTCCTGTCTCTCTCACAGACCTAGGCACACACAGAGGCACTTCTTTTAGACTCACTGAGTCCATGATCACAGCTCTGGTCCTAGGAGAGTCATCATTTCTGGCCCAGAGGTGGCCTGGGGAAGTGTTAGCAATAAATCCTGTTAAAAGCTAGGAAGTCCATGTCTCCCAGGACCAGCTAAGAGCCTCTTCTTGCTCCTTTCCCCGCTCCTGTCCTCCCAGGAAAACCCTCCAGTGACAATGATGGAGACAGCAGACAGACATGGGGCCTGAGGCTAAAGGGAGGCTGTAGTCAGAGATGGGGCCTGATTTGCTGCATCTCCCAGCCCCCTCCCCCTCCGCCAGCTGGGGCAGAGCAGGGGGAGGGAGATTGACCCCAGCAGGACTCACCCACCAACACACATTTTTAATATGCAAATTAAATAAATATTTTAGTCATTTAATAGCACTAATACACAACCTCCCCCAACTGACACCCACCCTTAAAACACCTAAGTGCCTACCCTTTCCTCCCTGCCCCCACCTGGGGGTGCAGTGGAGTTCCTGGCTGCCTGGCCAGCTTGCCCTGCGGGCTTTGGGGGCTCAGGAGCACCTCC